GGAAGATGGCGAGTGGGACCTCGTCGAAACGTCGCCAAGATACTCTCAATCTTACATGGGAAAAGACCCAAATTCGCCAAGACCTGCATACCTGTACCCGTGAATGAATATATATATATATTATATATATATAATCAAAAATTATAACAACAAAGATATCAGAAACAAGATTGTTATTGATGTGTCAATAAAAACTGACAACAATCTCATATAAAGGAAGAAGGAGAAAAAAAGAATTGTAAAAACAAATGCAATATCCAATTTCTTTTTTTGATTCCCACCATTAATCTTTCTTTTCAAAGGAGTATGTATACAACACATAAAGATAATCTGTAAGGAAAATATTATTAACATTTTAGGAGTAATGTTGACCACATGTGATTGAATTTTCTTTTATTGCAGATTTTTCCAAAGCTCTTAGTGTTAATTTTTCAGGCTGGGCAACTTTCCACATTGAAATACCTCTGAAATACTTTATATGAGATGCACTTCAGATTTCCATTGTTTCGCAATAACAAATCTAATAGCTAACAATGAAACTAAAACAAATTAATTAAAAGTTTATATCTGGGTGTATCTGGGTTCAAATGTGATATATAAAATCCCCATACTGATATACATTAAATATCTAGACAATAAATTAACTGAATGATGTATTATAAAATATTGTCAGAAGATTTCCTGTTCATGGGCATCAATGTTGGCAACGTATATCAATTTATTTCTACAACCCCAGAACGGTTGCAATTTATATAGCATTCTATAATACTTAACAGCTTGCTGAGACAGACCATTCAACCTTCTTAGAGTTTAAGAATTTAAATCAGATAAGAATCATGCTTATGCCCATTTTTCAGCAGGCACAGAGATGCTTAACCTCTTGACAAGAGGGCTGTTTGGGATGGTGGGTTTTTTTTTCCAGCCAATTGGTCAGGGATAAAATGTTCCTTTTTTGCTGGAGCTTTTGGTTATGGGGTCCAAAGCTTTCACCCACAAAGTCTGCTAAACGTTTGAAGCTGAATTAACATTATAACAAAAAAAAAAACCACAAAAATATATTTAGAGTATGTACGTGCACACACACACAGAGACAGACACCAGAGTTCAGGAAATCAGCCGAAGTAAATATAACATTCTGATGTTTTAAATATATCCAGAAGCTTAAAATTAGCAAGCCCCAAAACAATTAAGACAGATGGGATCAGAAAAACTGGACTTTGTACTGACTGCTCTTTTTCAGAGTAAACATGTCATACTTTTGCCACACCATACATTCAGATTCATATATGATAATGTGTAAACTGGATCATCTGTGGGCCTTTGAAAACAATCTTCCAACAAAGGTGATATTCAGCCAGTTCTATCCAGTTCCTCCCACCTGCCCTGATATAATGTATGAGCATTGTGCATGCGCAGAAGGCAGTGTACACTCACCTTTGCGAACCGGTAGGAAAGGTAAGTGAATCCCACTGCTGCCCATAACTATCACAGACTGGACAAAACTGTGTCAGCAATTAAAATATGTTAAAATATGTTTATGTATTTTCTTGTTGTTTCCAGGATGACAATATCATGAGATCCTTACAGCTTTTTGAAAATGTCATGTAACAGCAGCTGAAGAGCAGTCTAGAAATCTGAGACTTTATATGTACTGAGATCCTGAAGAAAACAAGTGAAGATTTTTCTCCCCACCATCTTTTTTGATGAAAGCTTTTTACTACTTGGACAGACTCAGTGTATAAGGATTTTGTATGTTACTGCAAACTGAGCTGTGTCTCTGAATGCAACAAACTCAATCTTGCCTCCCTCAAGAGACACTGACTAGAATTTATTTCATTTAGAAGCATGCTAATAAAATTTGACCAGAGGGACCTGCTGCTTAAAGTTTAATTAATTATTGAAGTTTAAATTATTTAAACAATATTCAACATTCTATTAGCTAATCACAAAAAAAGTCTGCTGCTTTGAATCTAGCAAGCTGGATTGCATATGGTAACACAGCATCAGTTGCTTCTTTAATCACCGTTGCGTTTTTTTGTATCATCATATTGTGTTAACATTTTCCTTTGAAGGTACTGGAAAAGTTTGTGCTACTTTCACAAGCTGGCACAAATATGACATGGTAAATGTGGGGTTTAATTCATTTGGAACCTGTCAGGACAATTATTTATTCATATTTATTGCACAATATTGCACAATATTTGTTGGGCAATAAATGTAGAGCAGTGACTAATTTATTGTACCAGATTCAGGCATTTGTTTACTCAAGAAAAGACTTTCCATTCAGAAAAACTGCATTTTCTTAGCATTAAAACTGTTACTAGAAATATTCCTTTCACCACTAAGAAAATAGTTGCAATCTGGAATCTACCTGCAAAAGGGTATTTCCATGTATGCTAAAATTCTCACTTTTCAAGACAAAAATTTGACAAGCTAGTCCATTTCAAAACTGCCACTATAGTCTCTTCCTCTCACCCAGAACAAATGTTCAAGCATGTTCAAGTGAAATTAATGACTTGGGGCTGGACTTATGCAAGAGAAGGGTTACCAAAGGTGAAACTGAAAAGCATGTATAGGTGTGTTTTTGACACATTTTGCTATCTGATTACTAAGTGCCAGCTGTTGTGGGAGTTTCGTCTGTGGGCTGAGTAAAATAGAGTACATCTGATGTAATAGAAAGAGGAAAGAATCAAGGACAGTCAATATCATACTCTATAGGTAAGCCTAGCGTTTTATGCTTTTGACTTGAAAAAGTATTACTATAAAAGAAGACAGTGTGGTGTGCTTTGAAATAATATTTAGAGGACTTGAAGCCGATTCTTGTCCCATTGTTTACCAAACCTGTGCATGCAGTTGCCTTAAGAGTTGAATTTTTTTAAAAAAATGGTTCTCTAAAGACTGCTTCAACATGTAGCAGAGAAGTGATACTCTCACAGGAATTCCAAAATATTTCCCTCGTACCTTTTCAAAGTATTTCATCATTCCCTTTTTTGTTTTCAAAAAGTCCAGTTTAAGTTTTTTCCTCTATGCCTTCTGTTGATTATTCACATGAAACTGAGACTCACATAAAAACAGAATACAGTACACTTTTTGCAGAAAATGTCAGGAAAATATTTAGCTAAATACGACAATGATTTTGCCTTAGTGTTACAATTGACCTAAAGGAATAGAACTAAGCTTTAAGATTTTGAAATGCTTCAGGAGAATGAAATATCAGCTCTTCTAAATCATTGCTCAATACAACATATAAAATATTATTTTATTTAACAAAACATTCACCAGTTTTTATGCCTTGCATTTAAGCTGAATTGTGCAGGCTCTTCTTTGTATATTGTGTACCTACAGTTTTCAAGCACAAAACCAGCCATACTGATCTGCTGAAGCAAAGTCACTGCATATTTCATAGTTTCATAGATAAAGCAACTTAGATTGTGTTGCAGAATATAAAAATGTTAAAATTCCAGGCTATCTTGCTTTCACTGGAGCTGAGGGTTCCTGTTTTTAATACAAGAGCATTAAGAGTCAGGATTAAGAACTGCTTTTTTGGGGGGAGGGGGGCATGTGTGCATTGTTTCTAAAAAAAAAATCTTACAACTTATTGATGTTTTTACCCTTTCGGAATGCAAATATTTAAAAATACAAATTCAACTTATTATTTTGAGCTATTTTGTTAGCAGTTAATATGACTGATGCTGAAAGGCATGATGAAAGATAGACTGATGTTTTTAAAATGAAATTTGATGTTTCAAAGTACAAAACTACATTTTAAATTTTATGCAGTATACATCATTCACATTATGACAATTTCAGTCAAGTAAACTTAACCATGATATGCTGCACATTACAATGCCCTTTTTTCTCAAATGGGAATCTCATAAAAGAGAAGGGCTTTAAAGAAAGAATCCTAATTAAGTAGCTTTGAAGTAAATTCTACTGAAAGTATTAATGGAATTGACTTCCAAATAATCTTGGTTAAGGTTGAATTTACTGATTCAGATACAATTGCTTTCAGCAGCAGCCACAGATTTAGCATTTAAAATTAGTACATCCAGTACATGCAGAAACCTCTAACTGAACTTATTGCAGGTTGTTTATTTGCCTAATACAGTCTTGCAGTGAGACACATGGAGAAAGGAACCCAGAAAGAAGTCATTCTTGGAAATATATGAATGCGAAGGAATGCTTATATGACCCCAACACCTTCATTCTACATATGGAAGTCTCAATTTCCTTACTCACCTTAAGATATTGTTAGCATATCTTTTACTCTAGCAAAATGTTATATTTTTAACATTTTTTATTTTTTTAATAGTGTTTTATTTCAGATAAGTGAAATAATGGGCCTGATCTATGGTTAAGCTAGACAAGAGGTCAAGAGACAGGAAGACCTTCCAGCTAAATTCTGTCCTGGAGCTTCAAGTCTGTTCTCCACCAGTGGCATATAAACATGCAACTAGCTTTCAGCCTGTAATTCCTAGAGACTCCCAAGCCAATTTGGCAGGGAAGACATTATACACCAATAGGAAACTGTCTGATATGGGGTTCACATCCTATGCTGCACCATATTAGCCATCACCAATAAAAACCATGGCCACTATTTTCCCACTCGTTCTCCTGAATCAGCTCTGGAACATATGTAGCAATTTTTAGCTGAGTTTAAGAACCAACTGTGAGGGATTATAATTGGATTGTCACATATACGAAATAAAATATTGGTAAGCTAAATAATGATTAAATCTAAATTTGATTTCCTGGTTTAAGAAAAAATGTTCAGATAATACATTTTTAAATACACAGAAATGAAGTTATTTGAAAAGTAGTGCCAAGCCACCCCCTTTTTTTCCTGGGGAAAAAATAACCAAGGGCTGCCGCAAGTAGCTTTCCTTATATTGTTCTAACTGGTGACCACCATATTTTCAATAAGGTTTTAGCTATATTTTTACAACAGATTATGTATCATTGGCAAGGGAAATATATTTTAAAAATATCATTCATAGTTCTATATTTTATAAAGCACATTAACTGTAAAGTCTTTATACAGAAAGTTGTAAACCTGATACTACTGTAACTGGGTTTGTAATGTAATGGGCATGTTCTCAGAAAACTTTTAGATGCCCTTTAGATATCTTGTACAATATATTTGGAGGTTTTTATCCCCAGCGATTCTCCAGTTCCTAAGTGTCCCTCCTGTGTCTGGCTCAGCTGCTTTTTAGTTCCAATGTCCACTGACAAACCTTGGAAGCAGGGTCACCATCAAAGTACTGTAGGTATAGAGATATGTAACTTTTCAGATAGACTTATGTGGTTCTCCTCCAATGCAGCCACCATGGCCTTTTTGCGAACTGAAACCCCAGAAAGGGATTCCCCTCTGCACCTCTCTCTCTTCTTTGTCAATTAGATGGCAGGATTTTCTTCTTTTTTTCTAACATATGAAACAACGGTTTGCTTACTCTACGCTTTTACCTGTTGTACTATATAGCAGGAAAGAGATTTCAGATTGGGAAGATGGAATGGGGAGGAGAATTAAATTGAGTTTATAAGTCTTTGTAAAGATGGAGTAGACCAGCAAATAATTACAGATATAGGAGGAAGAGGTAAGGAAATTAAGAATATTTCCCCCAGCTTCAACCATTTAAGGGTTTGATGAAGATGAGTTAAACTATTAAAATGACACCACGGTAGTATTGATTCATCATGAAGGAGTTAAGTAGATAATTTCCCATGAAATTCAAACACGTGTAACTTTTTGGAAGCAAAGTTTATATGAGCCTTTCCTCAATATATGGGCTGAGGAAGACAAAATTTGTAGCCAAAGATCAGAATTTATATATCAGACACACAGCTGACAAATTTTAGATAAGTTTATATTCTGCAATAAATTAAATATATATCTTGCAGAACTCATCTTTTAAAAATTACTCCTCTGAATTCCTGTAGGAGAGTTCTTTGTCTAAAATCAAGAAAAGAAAGAGAAAAAAAGATCATATAACTTCTTAGTAGAACACATTTTTCACATATTCTGAGGCACAATGCAAATAATTGTTCAAAGAGAGCTGTTGAGAACCCCACTGGGGTTACTAGGGAGAGACAGGTTTCAAATTTCTCCTATTGCAGTCCCACTTTTTATAAAGCTTTACATTTATATAAATAAGCATATTTAATAAGAATGAGTATCAATTTCAGATAAATTCTGAGTTGGATCTGATATCTTCGTGTTCTGAAGTTCTATGAGGATCTCTTTGGTATGACCCAAACTAATTCGATATTAAATTGCTTTCTATAGAAAGAACAACTCTGCATATTAGTGTTATCTAACCCTATCAAAATCAAGGATCTATCAATACAATGAAAGGAAATTATTTTTAATAAATAAAAGATGAAGATTAGTTCTAATTACCATATACTTATTTCCTTGACATTGGTAGTTTCGTTCTTTTGAAAAGCCTAATGCACTTGCTTGCTATATCTAGTTTCATCACAAACTAAATTCTAGAACTGATCCTGAGGTTTTTGGTCAGTGAGAAGTTTGCTTCATACTAAAGCTCTGAGTCATATCAGCAGCTGACATTCAGATGACTTGTCCACCTTCATAATAGCTGTCTTATAAATTAAATTAGAGTATTCTGAATTTAAAATAATAATAATAATTAAAACTAAAGGCTATCCATTAATGTAGTAAGGTTAACAAATACTGGCCCATAAAAGACCAGACAGCTACTAAATGGAAGCAGAAAGAGTTATTCTTGTTGCTATCTTAAAGTCCCCCAAATCTGGTAGCCATGATGTAGCACATCCTTTGCATTATTTTGCCTGCCAACTTTTCAATCAACCTAGCATCTTTTGCTAAGTAGGTTGAGACCTACTGTACTGTGTGTGTTATAAGTTCATCTGAGTGTTGACCTATTTTTACATTTCTTTTTAGTCAGACAAAAAGCAAAGATATTCTTTCCTTTGACTTTCTCAGTAAAAGTTTCCATAGTTGCATATATTTGTGTCTCCTAGTTTTCCATGGATTGCAGCTGTGCTACAAGTACACATGCATGTGGGCTGAGCTATTTGGTTTGAATCAGAAGACATGAGAATGAGACTGCAGATTGGGAAGATGGAGTGGGGAGGAGAATTAAATTGAGGTTATGAGCTTCTGTAAAATTTACTTGAGAATAAATTTGAACTATGGGGAAAAATTAAAAGCCACACTGTAAAACAGTTCCTCTTTCCCCCCACAATGACACAGTCTTCCTATTATTCATTCTTGAATATCAAAAAGCTCTACAGTTCCTTCCAATACTATTATGCTAACAAAAAGAAAAACATTAAATGAAAATCCACCCTCTAAAAGTCTGGTAGCTAAGTTCCTTTGTTCAGTGTTGATCAAGGTCTTCTGCTGTAAGGAGGTGTAACTTTTATAAAACAAGACATCTTGCAAGAGGAGAAGGTTAACATGGCATGATAAGACTTTTCCCTAGCCCAGTTGTTTGGCAAAACCAGTGACCACAACAAGCCCTTATAGAATACTTTATCTCTCTGCAGTGATGCTTACAACAGCTGCTAGCCAAAAATAATTAATATTATTTTTTGAGGTCTTTATTAATGCATGTCATAAAAGGAGACTGAAGCCATTATCACTTTCTAACAATATTAAATTATAAACTCTGTGATGATGCCAGAGTCCTTAATACATTCATTTCTTCTCTTTGTTGTCAATGGAGGTCTCATCCATGAACAAATCCATGACTATAGCATGTAGCCCAATTAATAAAGAAAGAGAAATGCAACATTCATGATAGTATCATTTAGCATTAAAAATGAGCTCATGTATCATGAAGCATGTTCTAACCCAGGTTATGTGCTACCTGAAAATTGATGAGATCAACCACCTGTAGAAAAGAATTAAGCATCCAGTTTACAACCTGGATTTAAAAAGTGTGTACTTTAATCTGAATCATACCCAGTATGACGATTTTGGGGCTCAGAAGCATGTTCATTTTTCATATTTGCTGTATTATTACAAAGTCTTGATGACAATAATTGAAATTCTATGATCAACAAATTTTGCTTCATCCTGAATTTTACTTGCAATATATAGAAACTAATCTTGGACAAGAGATTTTTTAAATTATCAATGTTCTCCATTGTGCAAAACTGCTCACAACTGTAATTGTTTCGATAGTGTCTAAAATATTTGTCAGATCATTAGCTATGAGTTATTACAATTAAATCAGGAAATCCATTTTTCCAGATGTATACATTACGGGCAACAGATTGATAAAAATATACATGATAAAAATGATAAGAATAGCGATGCAAAAAATGGATGTGATTGCTGCTGTGGATGTTAGTTTTCCTGTTACTCGTTTCATTTGCATGAGGAACCATGAATTATACTGATTGTAATGGATTGATAGAAGATATTTGCATTGCTCAGTTGGAATGGCAGATTAAAAGCATCTTGGAGATTTTCTTCATATTATCAAAAAACTTCACCAGTGTGTTGACATTAGAAATGTGCAGTAGTGTTACAGCATTCCTTCTTTGTGTGTAACTACCACTGTTGCTTTTGAGCTCATCAGAAAAATTAACAAATATTCATGATAATAAAGCCATTCTATTGAAGCAGCAACATATAGTTCCACTTCCACAAATATTATGATCAAACAGCAATTTGTATAATATTTTGTTGAACATTTTCAAAGATTTTGGTTTTAATAATAAAAAATATAATATGTACAGAAGATGATGTGACTGTCTTCTTTATGAATTCTCAATCAGAACCCTGCTTGAGGCAGAGAGACAAGATTATAGCAAATTATTCTAGGCAACAGGGAGTTAGTCACACAACGGGTCAAAAAAGAAATGAGCCATTGGTAATGTCCAATGACCTCATGCAGTTGAAAATTTACAAAGGCTAGGTAAGATGACAACTGGATTCATTGGTCAATAATGTGTGAGGAACAGTCTTGAATATGGGACAGATGTAAAAGGTGCATTACCCATAGCTACCTTCATAAGGGGAGCTCATCAAATTTGAAGATGACACCAAGCAAGCAGGAATAGCCAACACTCCGGAAGATAGGCTTAAGCTTCAGAAGGATTTTGACAGACTTGAACATTGGGCACTATCTAACAAGATAAAATTCAATGGTGAAAAAAGGAAGGTTCTACATTTAGGCAAGAAAAACAAAATGTACAGGTACAGTATATGTAGCACCTCGTTCAATAGTAATAATTATGAAAGGGAGCTTGGAGCCCTAGTGGACAACCATTTAAACATGAGCCATCAGTGTACAGCAGCTGCCAAAAAAGCCAACACAGTTCTAGGCTACATAAACAGAGGGATAGAATCAAGATCACGTGAAGTGTTAATACCACTTTATAACGCTGTCGTAAGGCCACACTTGGAATTCTGCATTCAGTTTTGGTCACCATAATGTAAAAAGATGTTGAGAGTCTAGAAAGAGTGCAGAGAAGAGCAACAAAGATGATTAGGGGATTGGAGGTTAAAACATGAAAAATGGTTTCAGGAAATGGGTATGTCTAGCTCAGCTATGGCAAACCGTTTTTGGCTTGCATGTCAAAAGCAGAGGGAGCACAGGGAGTCATGCTTGGGTGTGCCACACCCATAGTGCAATGTGCGACCCCCAGCACACATGCATGCATAACAGGCACGACCCCCCATTTTTTGCATGCTTTTTTCACCCACCCCAGTCTCCAGAGGATTTATAGGAGCCTGGGGAGGGTGAAAAC